TGAATCAAATGTCACTGTTGACGACGTGAATGTCACGCAGTAGTCAACTTTTGGGGACACTTTCGTTTCGCATGAGGTTTTGGTTCTCCTTCGTAGGTATGTCAGCGTTAGACATCATAATTGTTTACAGCTACTAGAAAGATTTACTCTGGCCGAGAACGGCATTACCATCTTGTCGCGAGAAGAAATAGACAGACTTACAGATTTTCTCGTCATTGAAATTAGTCTCTCTCTCTCTCTCTCTCTCTCTCTCTCTCTCTCAAACTTCAAATTTATTCCTTCTACAATATGTACTTGTTTAAAAAAAAACAGTCCTCACGGTGGCGCGCATGCATTTTCGATCCCCATTGTGGTTTACAGAAGCGCGGAACAATGTGAACGGTGTCCACGATAGTGTCGGTTGAAACGACGCTGCTGTGCTGATGTCCATTCGCCTTCTCCCATTTCAATTCCTTGCAACCTGTCACGTGTTCCCGTTCACTGTCAACCTCTGTGTACCACTGCACAAAAGCGCACTTGTGTTCCACATTACCGCCGTCTGTGGGTGCATCGACGACGAAAAGCATGGCCACTGATGCGAACCACGTACATTCGTTGGCTGCTCTTATTGCGACGTTGCTGTGCACTGGTCTCCCGTGGAACCGCGGCGACGCTCGTGCAGTTTGAACAATTGTGCCCCTGTTTGTTCCGTCCTGCGTGCAAGCGATGGCGAGATGTGTTCGTGTGTGTATAGCGAGATCATCAGGAGGAGGTTGACAACCATTCTCCGCCATGTACGTCGTAATCGCTGCTCGAAAATCGGTTCTGAAAGGGAGCTCTTCAAGTATCTTACACGCATGACTGTCAATGCCTTCCACCTCGCATATCTGGTCCTGATCGATGTCGAACCAGCGCAGTTGAAGGATTGACGTATCGCGTAGTGCCAGGGTGTTCGTCCCCGTTGCCATACAGTCCGTCACAGAAGACCTATTCTCGACGGCCCTCTTCCTCCTTTTCCTCACAAATCCGGTCTCCTCCTGCAACGCCAGCGATCGGCGCACGTGGTTGACCATCTGGGTTGACGCTTTCCTTTTGTTCGATGACGTGTACGGTTGTTTGCAGAATCTCCTGTGGTGATGCTCCCAAACGTCTGCAGCGAATGTGTCGGCCACACCAGATCGCTCAATACTTGTTCTCATATGCATAAGATCATGCAACTTCGGGAGTTTCCAATTTGATGATTGGTATCTTTCCAATTTCGCTTTGATGGTCGTTACGAAGTCCGTCATCAACGCATCACATTCGTCGAGGGAAACTCGAGTGTGTGCTGTGCGTCGAAACAACCGTACGTACATTTGCATCAGCTTAACAAAACAAGCGGTAATGTCCTTGCCTGTCGAGCGCGGGATTATATTAAAAATGAGGAACACGCACACTGTCATCACATACCGGTTTTGCTTCGCCTCGAAGCGTCCCTCTCGAGAAAAAAAATCGCTGCCTGTGGCCACGGGCAGCACAAGTTGGGGATATGTTCACGTACATCTCTCACTAACGCATTGCAATCTCGCATCGAGTTCCTTTAGGATCTCTGTTTGCGGTGTGTTCGGCAACTTCTCAAAGGCTGCCGCCCTGAATGCGTCGATCATATGCAGGAATATGCCGTGTTCGATCGTGTGCATATGGTCTGGTTGCAATGCGAGGTGGTAGTCTAGCTGAGGGTCATCGCCACTCGGCCCCCTGTAGAACCCCCAAAGGGCGTTCTGTTCAACATGCCTATGCATGTCCAACTCCGCCATTCGCCCTTCCGCCGCACGGCGCACGTCATCGTCGTTCGCCGTGAACACAGCTGCTGCGAGTTGAGTTTCCAGCGTCTGGGATCTCCTGCTGTCCGTGAAATCGGCCACGATATCGAGGTCCGTTTTCGACACGGTGCATGTAGGGCATACACCAAACTTCACATTCGCCAGCGCACATCGCTCTGGGTAGTCCTGTATATAGTTGAGGAGGATAGGGTGGACAGTCACGTCCCCGAATCGCGTCGACGGTACCGTGATGCCGTCGTGCGATGCCTCCTTCGCAGCTTGCAAGACCGTCGAAAGGGCCTTGTGGAAGATGACGGTCTTTCGCTTCCTGAATGTGGTGGATTGTAGACCCCATCCTTTGTCACGGGGTCGATGATGAAGCACGGGAAGATAGGCCAGCAGAGTGGCTTCCGACGCGTGGTCGGCTAGCGACATCATAAGAGGGTATGCCGTCTGTTTCTGACGACCGTCTGTGTGTGTCTTGTCGGAGTACAGTGAGAGAGGGATTACATATTGTGAACGATGCGAGTTTAAAGTCCGTAAGGACATGAAAGGTCTGCTGCAGTCGCACACCCGTGGACCGCTGTCCATTTCCTGTGCACGCAGTGCATTCCAAAGACAAACAGAGCGAAGCGGACAGTGCTTCGTTACCATTTTAGACATATGGTCGGGGCATGTGCACTACATAATACTGACCATGTTTTCTTATGCAGTGTGAGTGTTGCACGTTGTGGAAAATGCGTGTAAGCATGTGTTTTCCACGTATCCGTCGTAATCAGTGAGATTGTCCATACGAGCCAAGCTCTGACTCACTTTCCCGGACGTGTAAACTACCTTCAAGATAGAGACTTGAGATCAGGCGAGCAGAAAAAAAAAAAAAAAAAAAAAAAAAAAAAAAAAAAAAAAAAAAAAAAAAAAAAAAAAAAAAAAAAAAAAAAAAAAGCTCTAAATCGAAAAAAAAAAAAACAATTACAAAATTTACGGAAAAAAAAAAAAGGTACAGAATCACACACGAAATACGCAATAGTCCTCAGAGGGGTGGTCTGATGAGTCTTAAGTGCCCCAGAAAGCAACATGGAATGACAAACATCGTAACAATAATGAATTGCATGAAAGAAAGAAATATGCAGTGTCTGCATGCTGTCGTAAACCTGTGGGGGAGATACAGGTTCAACTAAACCTACAACTAGAGAGAGAGAGAGAGAGAAGGAGAGAGAGAGAGAGAGAGAGAGAGAGAGAGAGAGAGAGAGAGAGAGACTACTCCGGCCCTATACTCCGACAGAGAACACCGGTGAACACGAATATGGTACACAGTAGTCAACCCGAGGGTTGTTCAAACTGAGGGGGAGGGAGAGGGATGTACAAGGTGAGGGATGTACAGGTTGAGCAATCTATGTGTAGACACACCCACACAGGTTGTTTGTAC